TTTTTTTTTTTTTTTTTTTTTTGTAGGGTGGAAGGATAACGGGTCTCATAAGGCCCATTCATATATCTCATTTCATTGATGTTCTTAAAGATGGAGAAGCGTATGCCTTCAATCAATATCAAGTGGAAAGTAACATTGGCACTTACAAATCAACAGTTGGAAAATATCGGATCATTCTTCATAGGGGAATAGAATTCTATAGACTGAAGAGCGCATTTCCACTGTTTCGATTCTCTTTTAGAGAATTTATCACTTTGCGTGATATAGACAACATCGACGAAGCAATTTTGTTTGGTAAGTTTTAAATTACTTTATTGAATTCTATATTAATTATTAATTATGATTATGATTACATGTTAATAAAATTTATCGTGTGTAGATGTTATTGGCTTAGTGGTGGAGACCCATCCAATTCAAATCAAAAATGTGAAAGGTGGCCCAACCCAAATGATTAATTTCACTCTTATGGATTTGGAGTAAGTTTATTCATTTTTTTTTTTGTTTAAAATTTTCAGTCGATTTTTTTAACCTCTTATTAAATGTATTTTATTTTGATGTTTTTAGTGGACTTACCATGACATGTACTGTTTGGGGATCATATGTGGATCAATTTATTGCTTTCGTGAATTATTATGTGGAAGCCAATGATCCGTTTGTCTTGATCATGCAAATGTGTCGTGCAAAACCGTGGAATGGTAATTTAATTTTTTTTCTCTCGGAAATATACAAAAAAAAAGTTTATCGTTGATATTATCATTTTACAAATTTTGTATTGCTTAGCTATTAGGTTTTTTTTTTCGATAGGTGAAGTTCAAGTCACAACTTCAAAGGATGTCACACATTTAATTGGTGTTCACGATATTGCAGAAGTTCAAGATTTTCTGGAAAAGTAAATATTTTTTATTTATGTGTTATATTTTTGTTATATGTATATATAGATTATATCTAAAATAAATATTTTGTTTTATAGGATGTCAACTACCAAACTCAAAAGCGTTAAGCTTAGGTCGAATAGCTCTTTAGTTGTTAAGAGTGAATTTCAAGGACTTGAGGATGGGGATGTCATAGTTAGCTCGGTTGATTCTCTCCACGAGACTGAAGAGGTAATCTAATATATATTAAACTACCGATTTCGTATGTTATTATCCTTCTCGAATTTTTATTAAAACTAATTCAATGTTTTTATTTTGAAGGCTATGGATACTTGGGTTTGTGCCTCAATCGACTCTATTATTGATAATTGGTGGTACCTTGCGTGTAAAAGGTGCAATAGCAAGATGAATTGTGAAGATGGTGATATGCATTGCACCAAGTGCACCAATACACGTGGCACTGCACGGTTAGAATATCATTTTGTTAGTTTTTGTTCTCAATATTATTAATAGATATTTAATATCATATTATTTGTTGTTTTCAAGGTACAAGATTCAATTTGGCGTCCATGATTGTACTGCAAGTGGAGTTTTCCTATGTTGGGATAGAGAGTGTGAAAGGATGATTGGAAAGTCTTGTGAGATTTTAAAACGTGAAGTTTCTTTGTTGAAGGTGACTATTATTTATTCAATAGAGTTTAAATTATTTTTAACGATATGAACTTATTTTATAATTATTCTTTTTTTTGGTGTAGAATAAAGCTGCTTTTGACCTTCCGGATGATTTAGAGGACTTGGTTGGGAGAACCTTCCTGTTCAAGGTTCGAATCAAGGCCAATGATACGTTTTCAGCTGCGTACTCTGTGTTAAGGGTAATTGTTGATTCAAATTTGGTTTCCAAGTACAACCATTGGGTTGTAGAGAATGATGTAAGTTTATATAATTATATTCAACAAATTTAAAAGATTTATTTGATATACAATCGTTATTATAAATAATATGATAATGCTTTTTGTTTATAGGAGTCCGATTTTTTGACCCTTCTACAAAGGGAGGAAGCTACTAAGGTCGGTATAAATACTTAGAACTAAATATTAAATATATGTACTTATAAGTTAACATATAAGTTAAATATTAAATTCGAATGTTTATGTTCTAATTTTATGTCAAAAAATAATCATTATTCGTGTACAATTTTATCTAGGACGATGATGAAGAGGAAGTTATTTCACCGTTGAAGGTGGTTCGTGCTGCTGAGCAAGTTAGTGATACGTCCAATGCAAAACGCAATTTGATGGACGAGTTTGCTATTGACCCCGAGGGTGGACAAGTTGAATCCGTGACGAGCAAAAAGGGCAAGGCGAAGGTTGATGATGAAGGGAACTTACTCCCTATTGAGTGATGGAATAATAACTAGATGTTCGTTTTTTTTAATTAGAAGACATTTTTATTATGCTTATGTTGCTTGGATGGTTTTTCTTTATTGTTGGTTCGTTGAATAATGGTTTTGAGATTATGGAACAAATAATTGCAACT